TCCAAGGCCTTGGAAGATGCTCTGTACGGAAAAAGGAACCACTTGCAGAGTAAACTTGGCCCGCAGGTCCTGCAGTGAGTTACCAGATTGGGAAAGTTACTGCGAGCAGTTTTATGATGGTGAATATCTCACCCATCAGTCCGCTACTATATGGACCCAGACACGCCCGCTCCAGTACACGAACCTGGTATCAAGCGCAACCAACGTGTTTCGCCGGGCCATGGCCCGTGACAGCTGCGTTATTGCCATCATAGGCCCGAATATGAAGTCCCGCAAAAAGATTTGGGGAGAYATAATCCCCTCAGTCCCGGACCCAATAATCTCGTTAGCTGAAGGTCATGCTTTCAGGAGAGGACTGTGTTTGGGCCTTGAACAAGAAGGATTTGAGTGGGTAGGCCCAAACCTACTATACTCTAACCTAACCTGCAAATACCCCGAGGAAGTTTGGAAGAAGTGCGGGCCTGACTATGACAAGCACACTTGTGCCTGGTATGAGACTTTGCACACAACAGCATTAAGAGAGGTTAAAACCCTGGCTAAAGGAGCCGTTGAAATCGTTGCCGAAGGAGCAGAAGCCGTTGAAGATGCAGCTATAAAAATGTTGGAAAAGATCTGGCCATACTGCTTGACAGTCCTGGGGATCTTGTTTGCTGCTGTCCTAGCTCGAATGGCTCTGAGGGAATTATGCATCAGGTATTTTCCCCCAAGAAAGAGCGGATATGAACCCCTTCATCAGAATAAAGAGTAAATTGAGGTGAGGACTGACAGCCTCGTCTCGAAACATTATAATCGCTTCCTTCTAATGCAGCTAATTCATTAATGGTGGAGAAGAGACACAGAGGACAAGAAGCTTCGAAGGTTGGCGAGGAAATAAGGCTCAAATGTTCCCTTAAAAGAAAATTCTGATTCTGGACGGTGATGCGGGTTCCGATTGGCTCATAAAATAATTAATGTTGTTGTAAAGAATGGTGAAGGAACGAATGAGTAATCACCATTAAAGGAAAAATTCAGAGGCAACGGTGAAATCTAGGAGGGAGGAGTCAAGAACTCCTCCCCTCCAGTAGGAGGAGACAAGGTGCTGAGTAAAGGAGTGAGGTCGAACTGAAAAAGCACTTGGATACTCAGCACTGAGGGAAGATGCACATCACAATCCAGCAGAGCCATTTTCACCCAGATCCGGACTACAAAATCAGAAACTTTAAAGTATTTATGGAAGTAAACCCATCTAACCATCTAACCCTAACCCTAACCATAACCTCCCAGGTAGGCTACACACCTGACCCAAACCCTAACCTCACCAGGCTGTGTACCGGGGAAATGGTCACCAATTGTACCCACCATGAAGCAAAAATCTGTGCACACAACACACACACACACGCGTGCATGCACGCATAGCGAAACAACCGTAGTTTTTTTTTTTTACGCAGATAGGAGTCTGAAAACCAGTTCTTTCTTGTTAGCTGGAGATGAAAACAAGATGTGGACAGTTGCTCGCTCGTCCATCTTGTTAATTTAACAGTCGGGATCTGAGCGCTGCAGATTATTTGAGCAGGATGAGGAAGCTCACCTGTATGGCAGGCTGGTTTTACACTTAATCGACTTCACCACAGTTACATTCCAAGGATCTGAAATTGGTTCTTCTGGGTCTCAGGAGGATAAAACTAGACATATTAGATATTTAAGTGAAATAATATAAGATAATAAGATTCAACTAATGCTAATTAAATTGCAGACTTTCATGTGTTATTATTTTTAAAAAATCTGCACAACCTTTTAATAAATATTAGTAATGTTTCTGTTATTAATCAATATTCTCTGTTCATCATTCTGGTTCAGTGTTGCCAACTTAGCGACTTTGTCACTAGATCTAGAGACTTTTTAGACCCCTTTCCCAAAAAGTCACTAGATTTGTCCGACAAATCCAGCCCCGGTGTTTTTAGAGACTTTTAGGAGATTTGGCGACAGCAAGCACAAGCATTTTTTTCCTTTCCCCCTCCTCTCCTCCGCAAGCAGTGAGCAGTGCAGCGAGCCCCTCCCACTTCCTAAAGCCATCTGTCTCACTGAAGCCTCGTGCAGCACCCCCAACCCCTACCCCACCCTTGGCTGAAGTCTGCTGAGAGAGACCGCTGCAAATGAATCACGCATGCACAAAGCTGCCACTGCTTCTGCTTGGTTTACAAAGCAGGATGTAATGTTTACTGTAATATTTTTTCTCTGGTACTGTCTCTGTAAATTAAATCTCTGGACCCAGCTGTGTTTGACTCACAGATCAGTCACTTCTTCACCTCGTCCTCCCTGTGCCTCGTGACATCTAACAATCTGCAGATTAAATTTAAGATTCCCACAAATTTAATTTATGTGGATCAAAGCATTGAAGTCATAAAATAATTTTTATTTCATCAAGTTTAATTGCAGTTCTAAAAATATTTATTGTTTTTATTCACTTTTTTTCTCTTCATCATCTCTCCTATAGCTCAGATCACAATTATTGGCAAACATCCAACTGCGCAAATTAAGTGATGACGTCATCTAGCGACTTCTAGAACAGCCAATAGGGACTTTTCTTGCTCAGGAGTTGGCAACACTGTTCTGGTTTATCCAAGGCCAAAGGTCCATAGTTGTCCATCTGAGGGGCAGGTGTCTAAAAAAAATTAACCATGAAATGTTTAAGATGTTTATAAGACGTTCAGCTCTTAAACATTTGCACTTAGAATTTTATAGAATCACTTTAAATACTTTTCAGTAAGTTAAATGTCTACAATTCAGGTTCAAATAAAGAACTTTACTCATTATTTTCGAGTTAATGTTGCCGATGAACTGCAGACCCACCTGATCCGATGTATAGGGTCCTGTAACACATGCTGATAGCTCCGCCCCTTCCTGTGAGAGGATAGAAGAC